ACTTCAAGACCATCGAGGACCTGAGGGCTCGGATCTTTGCCAATTCTGTGGACAATGCCCACATCGTTCTGCAGATTGACAATGCCCGTCTTGCTGCTGGTGACTTTAGAGTCAAGTATGAGACAGAACTGGCCATGCGCCAGTCTGTGGAGAGTGACATCCATGGGCTCCACAAGGTCATTGATGACACCAATATCACTTGACTGCAGCTGGAGTCAAAGATCCAGGCCCTCAAGGAGGAGCTGCTCTTCATGAAGAACCGCGAGGAGGAAGTAAAAGTCCTACAAGCCCAGATTGCCAACTCTGGGTTGACTGTGGAGGGAGATGCTCCCAAATCCCAGGGCCTGAGCAAGATCATGGCAGACATGCGGGCCCAGTATGAGGAGCTGGCTCGGAAGAACCAAGAAGAGCTAGCCAAGACCTGGTCCCAGCAGATTGAGGAGAGCACCTCAGTGGTCACCTCACAGTTTGCTGCAGTTGGAGCTGCTAAGACAATGCTCACAGAGCTGACTCCTACAGTCCAGTCCTTGGAGATTGAACTGGACTCCATGAGAAATCAGAAGTCCAGGTTGGAGGATAGCCTGAGGGAGGTGGAGGCCCTCTATGCCATGCAGATGGAGCAACTCAATGGGGTCCTGCTGCATTTGGAGTCAGAGCTGGCACAGACCCAGGCAGAGGGGCAGTGCCAGGCCCAGGAGTATGAGGCACTGCTGAACATCAAGGTCAAACTAGAGGCTGAGATCACCACCTACCGCGGGCTGCTGGAAGATGGGGAGGACTTCAACCTTGGTGATTCCCTGGACAGCAGCAACTCCATGCAAACCATCCAAAAGACCACCACCCACAGGATAGTGGACGGCAAAGTGGTGTCTGAGACCAATGATACCAAAGTTCTGAGACACTGAGGCAGTAGAGCAGCTTGTCCTTATACCAATAAAGAGTTCAGAGTTCACTGGAAAAAAAAAAACACCTATGTCCCCACAAACACAATCTAGTGAAATCATAATTATGTAAAGACACCAGAGACAACGAGAAGATCTTCAAAACAGTCAGACAGCAAAGACAGTGTAATCAACATTCTCTCAGCAGTGGTTGCAAATGAGTCTGTCAAGCATCAGGAAGAACAAAAGACATGGCAGGCAAGAAGGAAAAGCAGAGGATTTTCCAAAACTGCATCTTAGCGTATCAATGAGGTGGGATAATTTTGAAAAGTACCATTTACTCAGCTCATTATCAATTTTTTATGGAGAGGGGTTTTTTTCCCCTTTCCAATATGCTTCACTTTTGTTTGGAGAAAATTAAGAAAATTGGTCACTCCAAGACAGCCGTCCTCAAACTACAGCCCACCAGCCAGATGTGGCCCACCTAGGACATTTATCTGGCCAGCTGGGTGTTTTTGCTGCTGCTGCCTGTCCTGCTTAGCAGCCAACTCATCCCGGGGCCCGTAGTCCAGCCCTTCAGAGGTCTGAGGGACAGAGAACTGGCCCCCTATTTAAAAAGTTTGAAGACCCCTGCTCCAAAATAACCCAAAATTTATTTGCATTTGGGTGTTTTGAATTTGCATATATGTTTTACTATGAAGTTTTCACTACTTTTCAATGTGTTGGGTGAATCTTTCAGAGCAGATGCTTGTTAAATTTATCTATGTGATTTTGATGACCTGAGATAAATGTATGTTACTCCATCTCACAGAGTTTCTAAATAGGCGTGTAGCAAGGAACTATACTTTAAAATAAGAAATTTGTTAATTAAAATATTAACCCATGCTGTGTGTGTGCTTATGCATTTAGACTGAATCTCATGTTATTTCAGTTAAAGTTCTGTGGTGACATAAAGAACAAAACAATCCAATGCAAGTGAAAATCATGATCAATAATTCTGTGAAACAAAACCATAGATACCAAAGAGCAACCTGTTATTTCTTACTGGCAAGAATGCTAATTATATCATTATTCTTATCTGGTGATAGAAAGCATTCAGTGTATCTGAAGTATCTCTCAGCAACACACTTCATACATATTACAATGCATACAGTTTCTGCTATACCACTTCATTTTAGAATAACTGACATTCTAGTGTACTAATTTTGGTTGATCAAGATCTACAACAAGCTTTAATTTCTATTTTATAATCCTAAGCACTTGTGATCATCCTCAGACTTACATTACTTTTTAATTGTAGATGTTCAGATTCTGTAGTAATTGACCGCCTCTGTATTTTCTTGATAATTACCTGCTTCTTCTTTCTCACGTGTTGAGTATAGGTATACACTCAAAAAAAAAAAAAAAAAGCCCACTTAAAAGAAAACAAACAAAGAAAAACAAATGCAGAGTAATTTTATGTACTAAACTTCTGCATGTTCTTCCTGTAGTCTGAATTCTTGATCTTGAACACCAGGTTCCACATTCATTTCTTACATAAAGCCTTTAAGACTAGCTCTGATTAGCTTCACTCATTCACATTCAAATTATATACTTTATTTTTTCTTTTCTTGAGAAAGTATCAATTAACAAATGGTGAGTATGTTTATACAAATGTATAATAAATAGAAGATGGTCCAACATATTGGTTTATATAGAATAGGGAATAGTTGTTAAAATTAATGATTAAGACTCTATTTTTATTTCCATTAGAAAGTAGAAACTTGTTATATTAAGATTGCCTTAATAATAACTGTTTTTTAAAAGTAAAATACTGATGAGTGGAACTTTGCTACCATGCAATTCAATAACACAGGTAGTAAAACAATTCAAGGACACAAACATCGTTCACAAGTGGTAGTGATGTCAATAAACCAAGAAAACTTTAGAAAGCTAATAAGTTGATATAGAAATATTAAATTAGTAAATATATTTTATAATGGTTTCCCCAAATTTATTAGTGTATACACATATTTTAGCAGAATGTTACATAAGCACTTTGGAGAGAATAGAGAGAACTCATCGGAAGGATAGTGGAGGGGGCTCATGCCCTGCCATTGTCATCAACAGGTACATGGTGTTCAATGGCCATTCATCTTCCACTCACCTAATCCGCAAAAAGTTCTTTTGTTGGCTTTATATTGTGCAAATTCCTTTTCCCAATTTAACATTGAATAATAAGGCTTAAAAATAATAGAAAATGAAAAGAGCCTAATTAAAATATTAGCTTTTGTTTTTAATATGTTGATATGTTCAATTTTGATATTTTGTAAATTTTTTACCTTGTAGGGAACATTCTTTCCCAAAATACATTTTTCAGATTTCCCATTGAAGTTGACATTAGGAGAAGAAACTTCTTCAGTCAGCTTTTCAAATTTTAGGAACATAATATCTCCTTTAGGAAGTTTCAGAGCAATTTCTTCTATCGATTGGAAAAAGAGGAAGACAAAGCAGTGCTGTCTATTATTTCTCCATTTATTTATTTCCTGAACTTGGAGATTTATAGTTCAACACTATTTCAATCAACTTTTCAAGGATTCCACCTAAATATGAAGCTTTCTTTAATTAAAAAAATCCCAAATTAAGTTAGTGCAATTTAATTCAATCAGTATTTATTTGGTTTCCGATTTGTGCATGATATTTAAGCTCTGCACACATGAATAAGACATTTGCTGACCACGAAGAATTTAGTCTCACTGGAGCTACTCTCTTTGTATGTGTTTGTATACTAAATATTATTATAATTGTTACTGGTTTTACTATCTTCAAATTCTGCAAGTATGCTTGTGCAAAAACTTATTAACTTCTCTGTGTTGTGGTAGTGAAAGAGTTTTTAAAAGCCCACAGCTCTTGTGGGTAATAACACACTTCTAACACAGATACTATCAAGAATCTTTTCCTGCATTTTTCAAAGATCTTTACATGATGTTTACTTCCTGTGGCGATCATCAATTTTCTGCACTGTGTTCTGCCAGCCATTTAGGTTAAACACTACTCATTTTCTGTTTCACTGTGGTTTAACCATTTATGTTTTCATATTGCAATTTCATTATCTAAGGAATTTTGAAAATTTTTACAATATCTAAGATATGTTTCAATAAGTAGATTTTAATATATTTTGTTTTTTCTGTAATTTCCCTATCCCCACTCTTGGGGCTACCCTCCCTCAAGGCAAACATTCTTACACATTTGCCCTGCCCT